CATTTCACATGTGTATTACTCTGAATAACTTATAAAAACGACAAATATGCCACGGCCGAACAAAGTGCTTCAAGGATGTCCACATGCATGGGTTTTCAGGCCGGGCTCGAACGGCGGCCTCGATTACCAGATTAGTCAGACAGTGTTTTGTGAGAACACAGGAGGAATTTCAATAGAGCAAATACAGTTTTCTCTCATCCTCTCATCCAAGGCTTGTTGCTCTTTCACAATACAAAAGTCACCAACAGCTCGCAATAATAAAAACACCTTGGAAGAAGGACAGGGGAAAAAGAGAAAAAAAAAAAAGAGAGAGAAAACACACCTCTCTCTTCACCAAGGTTATTCAATGATAAGCAACAGCTCTTGGGCAAACAATGGCGACTCCAAGTGCCAGCTATTTTTCCAAAGTCGTGCAACTGTTGATTTTGTTAATCATAGTCCTTGAGCATTAAATATTTACTGACGTCATTTCTATACATGTGAACACATTAACATGTACGGCCGCACCGACACGTCCAAGCTTTCTTCTCCGTATCCGTTTGACGTCCTCTCTCTCTTCACCACTTCAACCAAACCATTATATTTCCACGTACAAAATATCACACTTGAGTTGAAACCTTCAGCTCAACACAAAATAAACATGAAATGAAGAAATAACTTCCACCACATCTTTATTCTAATCCAACTGGCAGGAACACACTCTTGTTGTGGATAAACAGCGCAACTTTGTTTGGTTTTTCTTTCTTTTTTTTTTCACGTCTAATTTAATGTAAAAAAAGTATAATGAGGGCATCAGTGATTTAAACAAACATTTCTTTGGCTGCCAGCTGAGGGCTGTGATAATTACACAGGCGAATCTAAGGAACGCACATGAATCTCCTGCTTCTAAGTCCACATTAGAAGCCGTGGTGCTAAACCTAGTTTAGTACACCTGGGGATTGTCTATTCTGGCCAATCCCCAACAGGCTTGGAGCTGCTGCCTTGTCTCCTTATGAGCGCAGAGACACTTCATGTGAAGGAGACGGAACAAAGCCTGTGTGTGTGTGTGTGTGTGTGTTTTCCATGTGCGCAAAATGAGGAGAGCGAGCAGTTTAAAGGCAGAAAACGCTGTCCCCTGTATAAATAATGTGCCTGGCACACATGGCCTGAATAAAGTGGCCCCGGCAACATGACTTATGACAGCGGCGCTGTTATAATCTGTCATTTAATGGAGCCTATAAGCTTATTATGCATTATGGTATGGATCATTATGACTTCACTGCCTGTGTATGGGAAGGATTGGCTACTTTAAAAAGAATTGGAAGGAGAACAAGGAAGCCCGTCCTTCATCAAACTGCAACGTAAGGAAGCACAGGCGGTCAGAACGCACGCCGTACGAACGCACGCCGTACGAACGCACGCCGTACGAACGCACGCCGTACGAACGCACGCTGGGCTTAAATGTATATATAACAACAGATAAAAACTCCAGGAAAGTAAAAACAAATATGCAGATGGAGTCCATGTCACGTTAAACTGCATTTGTGGCAATTAGAGGTAAAAAAAAAAAGATAAAAAAAAATTAAAATGACAGGCCTGTATCCAGGAGACGTACGAAGGGCGAGCACCGGCAGCCAATGATCGGCACATGCATTTTAGAAAATGTCTATGCCATATGCTGTCACTCAGAGGAAGGGGAAGAAAAAACAAGAGCGAGCAGACAGTCGCTGTGTCTAAATGAGATGGTAGGAAGAGGAAGAGGGGGGAGGCGGAGGGGAGGGGAGGAAGAGGAGGAGGGGCGGGAGGGGTAGAGAAAGGGAGGATGTCAAGGATTCATGGTCCTTCATCTTTTGCAGCAAAGCAAACACGTTCCCCGGTATAGAAACAGACAGATGCCTCCACTTTTTTTTTTTTTTTTTAAATGCAGTCCAACTTAGATCACTGTGAGAATTGTCAGCACCGAGCAGAAACACAAAAGATAACACAGCAAGTTGCCATGAGGGAAACGACAGAGATGTGGTTACAAGAGAGCCAAAGAGACGGGTGGGGGGTGGGGGGGGGGGTTGAATACTTAGAAGAAAGAACTGCATTTCTTTTTTTTTCTCCCCCTCCCCAGCCCCCTAACGCCTGACTCTGCTGGAGATGACCTCACTTTTTTATATGAAAAGACGGCACTTAACATATTTGCTTAAAGATAATAATCCTGCAGCTCGTACGACGCAGCCGAGGAGAAGGAACGGCTTCTCTCTTAGTTACAGACAAACACATCCCTCTAAAGATGAAGGTGAAGATTTCATCAATTTACCTCAGCCCTGCAGACGTCCCGGGGGGGTGTATTCACACACACACACACACAGCTCCAGGTACACAGGAGCTGGCTTTAATTGTCATCATTAGCCGACATGTTAAAAGTGTCAGTGCTGCCGAACAACAACCACTGCCACAGAGACTCAGAGTCAAACTGGCAATTTTACTGATGTCTGATGAGAGGGAGACACTTCAGGTCAGGGACTGAGGATTTAGAGGAGAAAAACTTCAATTTAAAAAGTGAAAAAAAAACTGAAAATTGATTTGAGGCCCACTACATAAACATTCTCCAAAAGGAAAAAAAAAACACAAAGTGGAGATATTTCTAATAGAGAAAACAAAAATTAACTATGGAATAAAAAAGGTCTTTGAACCCGAAAACAATTAATTTGTATGTAGTCCATCAACGGCTAAAAATAACAACGGCGTCTCCGTACGTCTCGCTAATTGTGTTGCCGTGTGGCATGGAGGGATTAGATGTTGTTTACCTCACACGGCGCGTCGTCGTCGTCTGTCTAAGTGTGAACGTACAGTATATAGGAGGGAGAGCAGAGGGGTGAGAGAAAACAAGAAGGGAGGGTCAACCATTGTCACCAAATTCAGGCTTTCAGAGATTTGTGTCAAACAACAACAGCAGCAGCAGCAGCAGCAGCGCCGACTGTCGTCAGGTGCTTCCCTAACAGAGATAAACAGAGCTGTCAGCTTCTTTCCATGCACACCGGGGGTGTCTGGGGTTAAGTAAGGACCTGCGAGAATCACCTAACTCTCACACACACACACACACACGCAGCAGCTGAAACACACACACAAATACAACGCTGCCAGGTCATGGACTGATAAATATTCCCAGCTTCATCACCAGGATACAGAAGACGAAAACTCACAGTTAATGGTTTTCTTATTGCAAAAAGATTGTTGCCCCCCCCCCCCCACCACACCCCCTTCACTGTGTATTTTCTACAATAAAGGTGTGAACATATGAGTTGGCGTGATAACACGCTAATGTTTTGATGTTTTCAAATTAAATTACAGTTTCATCTGCAAAACTGTGAATGCTTCGACACAAGGTTAACATTTAGAGCTGTGCATGGGTTTGTTTTTTAAATAAATAATTCACCATTCTGCTCATTGTCTACATTTTTTGCAGCTCTTTTTTTTTTTTTAATGCCAAACACATGCACGAGGGGCAGAGCTTCTAAATATGAAACTGCACAAAAGCATCAAATTTAATATCCACTTGACAAAAACACACATTTCATCCAAAACACTCCAACATAATGAAAGTGGTGGAAATGTACATTTCTTTTTTTTTTTGTTACCCACAAAGTGACAGCTGCTGCAATGGTGTTATTTTTGAAGAGGAGTAAAAACACACTTCAGCCCAGCAGCGCTGCTGATGATGTTAATTTCCTCTCAGAGCAAAACATGCTAATGAAATGTGTGAACACAATTAAGGAAACTGTTCCGCGGAGTTGGAGGAGGTTAACTTGGGATAAGTGTTTGGAAAAGGCAGAGAGTCCACAACTTCGTACTGTCTCCTGACTTTTGTCATTAAAAACAGAGAGAAGTCTTTGTGTCAGTTTCTACACAAAAAAAAAAAAAAAAATATATATATATATATATATTTGCTGCTCAGTTTGTCAGGCCAAGTTAGTTAGCATGACAAACTTTCTAAATTTAGTTACACACATAAGGTGGTTTATATGTTAGATGGAAATTAGGAATATTATTGTTGTTGTTGACACGTTTCTATTTTATATTTTTAAATTTTATATCGCATAAAAAATTCCTGAGGAAACTGCTGAACAGTGTCATCATCATGTCATTTCATTTATTTAAAAAAATAACTCTATATTTACAATCGCTCCAGAGTTACAGTCATGTTGTAAAAGTGAATTTGAAATTTTCAGAGCAGCCATGAAAATATGTTTTAAAAAAAATCATAACAAGGGGCGAATTAAATGAAAATATTTGACTCAGAAGAGCCTGAAAGAATTTAGTTTCAAAAATGGAATTTTTTTTAAAACTCTTACACCTAAATTCCCAGCTGTCTCTGTGGTCCAATCATCTGCTGTATCC